TATGAAAATAAAGTGAAAAATACTGTATTATTATTTCGCTTTTTTCACAAACTAGGGAACATCGTTTGCAGCAGCTCATTTCTTGATTGTCAAAAGTTTTCAACCTGCTTTAATGAGAAAAATATTTAAATGCAGCGACGTCTCCAAACTCCTCTATACTCTCCACCTGAATCGCTGACGATGGATGTCACCGATCGTCAGCGCCACAAGCGGAGAAAATATTAACTAGCGTCTATACGCTCGGTCTCATAGAGAGAGATAGTTGGCGGACGGCCTTACTAGCGAAGCGATCAAGTGGCCTTGCCTACACACACGTGTGCAGTAGCAGAAATAGTTGACACGATAATATAATTATTATATATTATTTAAAACAAAAGTGATGGAATGGCAAAATGACATCACTTTTGCTGTCGAAGCCGACGGAATACAAAGTTAAAAATTTTCAACTTTTGCCATTGTGGAAAGCAAAATGGCAAAAATTAAACCAATACGAAGGCCGTTTAGCAATGTCATCATAAAGATCATGTGGGATGATAGCATTCCAACTATGGCGGTTGGCAAGCTAAAAAGCTTTGTTTGTACACTTATACACTAATATTTTAACTTTACACTATATTACTATCCAATTTAAATATTAATGTCAAATAGACTTACTTACTGCATAAAGTATTGGGAATGGTGTAATTGTAATTCAGTGATGAAAGTATTCGATATTCCTAACTTTTGAAGATTTAGAATATTTTTCCTATCCAAATTATTCATTTTTGAGGTTTTTTATTTGGGATAAGATTGAAGGCAAACTTAAAGTTTAATTGATATAAGAAAGCAATCCCAGTAGATGCCATTTTCAACTACTGGCAGGGGAACTACCTACTGTAGTAGCTTGTTTATATTTGTGGCTGGCAGATGGCGCGTTTCAATTGTAAGGTAATATCCACATGTGAGTACACATGACATGGAAAGACGACGGAATGGCAACTGTTTCCGTCGTCCATTTCTGCATGTGAGTACCAGACTTAAGTTGACCAGACCTGGTATATTGTACAGTTTACACATTTCATTTTCTATTAAGCTTTGTAAATAAATACTTTAAGTATGATTTCTACCGTAGTTTATGGTATTTATAAATTTTACATTGTTTGTCTATGTTTTCATCAACCCTCATGTAGTTGAGGCGGCTACTATTTAAGAGCATTTATTATTTTGAGCTGTAATGGAGAGATGTGCTTACTATTGAGTGTGCCTATTATATATATAAAACCTGTATACAGTAGGGGAAGGTTGCTTAAGTTGTATCCCATAAGAAAAATTAAGTATAAATTGTAAGATATATTAAATAAACAAGAATTGATTTTAGCTGGATACCTTTTGCTTCAGTTTAACCAAGAATTTTTCTGAAGTCCTCAATGGAAACAGCTAACCAGTTAAGATGATTATGATGGCTGTCATAACTATAGCCGATAAGAATGGCATTTGCTAGTTTTGGCATTTTTATTTCAGTCTCTGCTGCATTCCTTTTGGCTATGCATATTACATTTCTTTGCTCGCAGTGCCATTTACCCCAAAGTAGACAATTTTGTAACTGAAATTTTTCTTTGAAAAATCCTTTTTCACATCCTCTGAATAGCATGTACACAAATTTGGATGCCAATCAGTTTATTGGTTGGAGTTACAGAGTCCTCTGAACAAGACAACTTTAATTATGATTACCCTATATATAACAATCATATTAAAAATTATCATCAGTTTCCATTGTTGTTTATTTTACTAAATTATCAATTCAGTAACTATCACTTTAGTTACTGAATTGATAATTTAGTAAAATAAACAACAATGGAAACTGATGATAATTTTTAATAATATTGTTATATATAGGGTAATCATAATTAAAGTTGTCTTGTTCAGAGGACTCTGTAACTCCAACCAATAAACTGATTGGCATCCAAATTTGTGTACATGCTATTCAGAGGATGTGAAAAAGGATTTTTCAAAGAAAAATTTCAGTTACAAAATTGTCTACTTTGGGGTAAATGGCACTGCGAGCAAAGAAATGTAATATGCATAGCCAAAAGGAATGCAGCAGAGACTGAAATAAAAATGCCAAAACTAGCAAATGCCATTCTTATCGGCTATAGTTATGACAGCCATCATAATCATCTTAACTGGTTAGCTGTTTCCATTGAGGACTTCAGAAAAATTCTTGGTTAAACTGAAGCAAAAGGTATCCAGCTAAAATCAATTCTTGTTTATTTAATATATCTTACAATTTATACTTAATTTTTCTTATGGGATACAACTTAAGCAACCTTCCCCTACTGTATACAGGTTTTATATATATAATAGGCACACTCAATAGTAAGCACATCTCTCCATTACAGCTCAAAATAATAAATGCTCTTAAATAGTAGCCGCCTCAACTACATGAGGGTTGATGAAAACATAGACAAACAATGTAAAATTTATAAATACCATAAACTACGGTAGAAATCATACTTAAAGTATTTATTTACAAAGCTTAATAGAAAATGAAATGTGTAAACTGTACAATATACCAGGTCTGGTCAACTTAAGTCTGGTACTCACATGCAGAAATGGACGACGGAAACAGTTGCCATTCCGTCGTCTTTCCATGTCATGTGTACTCACATGTGGATATTACCTTACAATTGAAACGCGCCATCTGCCAGCCACAAATATAAACAAGCTACTACAGTAGGTAGTTCCCCTGCCAGTAGTTGAAAATGGCATCTACTGGGATTGCTTTCTTATATCAATTAAACTTTAAGTTTGCCTTCAATCTTATCCCAAATAAAAAACCTCAAAAATGAATAATTTGGATAGGAAAAATATTCTAAATCTTCAAAAGTTAGGAATATCGAATACTTTCATCACTGAATTACAATTACACCATTCCCAATACTTTATGCAGTAAGTAAGTCTATTTGACATTAATATTTAAATTGGATAGTAATATAGTGTAAAGTTAAAATATTAGTGTATAAGTGTACAAACAAAGCTTTTTAGCTTGCCAACCGCCATAGTTGGAATGCTATCATCCCACATGATCTTTATGATGACATTGCTAAACGGCCTTCGTATTGGTTTAATTTTTGCCATTTTGCTTTCCACAATGGCAAAAGTTGAAAATTTTTAACTTTGTATTCCGTCGGCTTCGACAGCAAAAGTGATGTCATTTTGCCATTCCATCACTTTTGTTTTAAATAATATATAATAATTATATTATCGTGTCAACTATTTCTGCTACTGCACACGTGTGTGTAGGCAAGGCCACTTGATCGCTTCGCTAGTAAGGCCGTCCGCCAACTATCTCTCTCTATGAGACCGAGCGTATAGACGCTAGTTAATATTTTCTCCGCTTGTGGCGCTGACGATCGGTGACATCCATCGTCAGCGATTCAGGTGGAGAGTATAGAGGAGTTTGGAGACGTCGCTGCATTTAAATATTTTTCTCATTAAAGCAGGTTGAAAACTTTTGACAATCAAGAAATGAGCTGCTGCAAACGATGTTCCCTAGTTTGTGAAAAAAGCGAAATAATAATACAGTATTTTTCACTTTATTTTCATACTAGCAGACCCCGCCACGCCTTGTTGTGGCTCAAAATGTATCTATTATAAATGTATAACACTTCCCCCTGGGAGAAAATTTTTCGAAAAATTTCTTCTTAGTGTACATTCTCTTGACGTACCCTATTAAAACGCAATCAAAAACGCAAAAACCCGCATCTAAAATAGTATAATAGAAGCCAAGTTTTTCACAGTAAGCCTTAATCCTGTCCCTCTCCCCCCAATGGGGTAATTTCGACATGTATTCGACAGCCTATGTCCACCCTGAGGTTCCATTCTAAATATTGGTGAAAGAATTTTTGAAATCGGATGAGTAGTTTTGGAGATTACCTGCTGCATACAAACTAACATACAAACATTACCTCTTTATTATATTAGTATAGATGACGTTTTTAGGAAGAAATAATAACTGAGTATTATTGGCATGGAAAATACAAACTTTTTCACATTAATACTATTTAATCATCTCTTTTCGATTCTTAAAGATACCAGTAGTTAATCGTTAATGTAAATTTTTTTTTACTCGAAAAGTATGCAAAATTAGTAAAACTAGGTTACCTACAGTATGCACTGTCTACTATAAAAATTTTCACATTTTCGGACCATATATGATAATTATTAAAATGTTGTGTATTAAATCTGTTATAAAATTATTACTTTTGTTAATCAAGACTGTAAGAATAAATACCGATATAACCTTTCGAAAAAATTTGCTTATTTTTTTTGCAAAAATAAGCAAAGTTTTTAGTTAGTAAAAAAATTTCGAAAAATATGCACGGAAATATGGTGATATTGAAGGTAAGAACTTATTATAATTAATATTGGAGAAGTACACAGAAATGTGAACAAAAGCAACATATATTGTTTTAAAGTTGAAATTAAAAGTATAACTATGGTAAAAGTAACATTGCTTCAGTTTACATCTCTAATATAAATAAAATTCTTTATAGAAAAAGCAAAAGCTTATTACATAAGAAAAATTAATTTATTGAATAAAGTGTACACTGTTTTTGACTGAATTTTACAGTTTGTAAAATTCAGTCAAAGACCAGAAATGTACTTAGCTTCCTCCTCATCAGAAATTTACAATATGAATTAGACAACATTAGACTTTTAATATTTTTCTAGAAATGGGCTTATGATGCAGTCTGAGAACTTTTTCCACAGTTTGACCACACAATGAATGTATTTATATCTATATACCAAGCTGCTGTTGAAGAGAAATCCCGTCAACCGTATATAACTCACGAATAAGTATAACTAAATACAACTATAACTATATGTAATTATCACAATTTCATAAAATAGCTATACTCGCACACAAAAGTACAAAACGACCAATTTACTCAACAGACGATTCTCACCGATAACTAGCGCCAAAATCTTTCGCAGCGGCAAAAAATGGAAACAGTGTGAATACGGCAATTTTCCTTACGGCGGACGGCCTTACTAGCGAAGCGATCAAGTGGCCTTGGTGTAGGGAATTGTGGAAGTGACGTCACGCTTGACATGTTCCCCACCGGCGAGGGAAAATTTCACTGCATCAGTTGTCCCTACACCCTTGTCGTGGTTACGCGTGTTCGCTGGCTAACGACACCATTTTAGCATTTTTAATGTCGCTTTCTCTCGTAGGTGGAATGTATTATGGTGAATTAAAGTAATTCGTTTTGTTAATATCGACGAGTGCTTGCGTGTTTCTTAATAAAGTTGTTCTTAAACGATGCAAATAGCCGAAAATAAAAAATCGTTCGTAACTTTTAAACGGTTGATCGTAAGTAATTTTTTTTAATGCCAATCGATTCAGCGTGTCAAATTACATCTAGATATATCTATATTTATTCGTTAATATTAAGTTTAAGACCTTTTTTTAGCTGGATACCTTTTGCTTCAGTCTAACCCCGTTATTCGAACAGTATGTTCCCTACAGATGAAGTAAATTAATAAATTATTTTAGTTAATTCGTTACAAACTACAAACTTACATTTCCTTTTCCGTAAAATCGTATATATCCAGAATTGTTCCGCGGTTTATATTTAGGTTGAGGATAACTTTTCTTAATACACAAACTATTACTATTATTATTATTAGTAGTAAATCCACTTCCCAGAGTGAAAAATGGGGAACTGTCATAAACTCCATTCTCATTATTCGAATAACTAGTAAAAACAGAAGGTAATGGCAGTGATTTTAAACTATTTCCGCCACATTTGGTGGCAAAAGTCGGCAAGGAATACATTTCGCCTTTCTTTCTTTAATTATTGTTTCTGCTGTGTCTTCTTCCACGTAAAAATAAAAGCACGTGTTTACACTCGCAAAACAGACTCCATTTTAATTCTATGGTGCTGCATTGTTGCCAGTTGTAAAGAATCCTGGGGAAAAAAAATTTTTTTTTTTCGAAAATATGTGAAAAATTATTTAGTAAAATAAATACAGTATATTTGATAATATTTTTCCATTTCAAACATTGATTTTAAATTAAGTTTTGGTGAAAAATGTTTTAATCGTCTTTGAAAATTTGTTGTTTAATTACAATATATATTAATATATTTTTGTTATTTTTTTAAAACTCTTTTCGCCCTGTAGGCACCTGAAAGGGCCTCTTTTAGCAGGCGCATTATGGGTTCGGCCAGGCCGACAACGGGGCTGCCGGATGGTGAAGAACGGAGTCCGACATATCAGGACGGACACACCCGAAAAATTCTTGGGGATTTTTCGACCCGTCTGGATTCGAACATCATAGCTATAGTTTGCCGCCTTGACCGCTCCGGCCATCGCCTTATACGATTATTATAAGTTCAGTTACACTTACAATGAACTGACCAGAAGTGAGGGACCACTTGTGAATATGCCTGATTTACCTTCAATCGGCAGTGATCAAGTGAATAAAAATGAACACTGGTGGTTATTCATGAATCCGCGCCTCGCCGACGGTCTGGCCACGTATTTTCCGGGTTTTCTTTACGTTAGTAACACCTAAATAAGGCATCCCCTCGGCAGATCGCCCGTGTCGCGTTGCTATATACGAATAAAACCAAGCCTTCAATCATACAAAAAAATAAAATTTTGTTACATAAATACAAATGTATAATAGAATCCTAGGAAATTGTATTAATTAGAAAATCATTTATAATTCGTAGTATGAAATGTTAAACGTATATAAAATGCATTAAAAAATATACTTTTTAAAATTATTATATCTGTTACTTGGGTGAAATTGTAGCTCTGAATTCAAATTCTCTAGTTTTTGGTTCTCTTTTGTTGTAATGAATGTTCAGATCTGTAAAAACGACGGACATCCCACTCTTTCTGATTTGATCTCCTTGACACTTCATGATAAACAACAACAGTAGGCTAAAATAACCAAATATTTAATATGATTTTCATTTTAATGTTTATCCTTCTTACTTTTTGGCCAGGCAATGCTGGTTGTATCTGCTAGTTATTAATAAAACAAACAAATTTACGAACTCTAATAAAAATATAAATTTAAAATACTCTAAACTAATTTGATTATTCTAAAAACTCATGAAAGATTTTTGTTTAGTTCAAGTACAAATCCTGATAGAGTGTTCACTGTTCCATGAGAAGCCTTATTCATAAAAGTACAAAATGAAGAATGCATTAGTGCAATAGTTCTGAACAAAACTGTCTCAACGTTTGGTTCCTAACCAATAGCGTAGTGTGGGTGTCAGCCGCCCGGGGCGGAGGAAAATTTCGCCCCCCTTATTTAGGTATCTCAATTTAAAAGACTAAAATTCAGTTTTGTCACAGAATAAGTAATGAAATATTCCATGCTAGTGAAGTGAAAAATAGTGTGCAGTGCATGCCGGTTCTAAATCAGTCACAGCGACTAGGGAGACTTGGGTAGGAGTAACGTAAGTGACCTAGCTCTATTGGATATTGGAGGTGTATATATAGACGAATAAATCGTACAAGCAAAAAAAGGTTGACAGGTAGTGCACGGACGGTGAGTCAATTCTCAGACTGTCCGTATGGTAATACTATTCCGTGCGGATTGAAATGTGCTCATTTCAATTGGTCCAAATCGTAGGTGGACTATATCTATATCTATATCTATATCTATATCTAAAAATGGACATGTATGTCCCTATATTTCACTTTTCCGCCAAAACTACACGTCGCACGTGAATGGTGTTTGTATGTGGTAGTAGCCCCAAGTCTCCATTCGTGCACCAGAGTGGTTGCGTCTCGATAGCTATAAGGGTGCGGGAGATATGGGGCTGAAAGTGGTTGACTTCGAAGATGTGTAACAATGGAAGTGTCAACAATGTAATTGTTAACAATAGAAGTGATAACAATGGAAGTGATAACAATGGAAGTGTTAATCTAAAGATTTACAGGCGGTTTTTTGCGTTTTTGCGGGAAATCGAACATATTTTTAGACTCATGTAAAAATTCTCTAATTAGTCTGGAAACGGGGGACCTAATTCTTGCATTCTGTGAAAACGGGTAAGATTGGCTATAATGTAATTATCTTAATCTTCACTATCATTACTTTTTGCCCACAAATAAAAACCCAGCGAAGCGGGTCCTTGCAGCTAGTATGAAATAAAATGGTTCAAATTCTTACAAGATATTATTATTTATTGTGAAATTTTGCCGCCCCCACTACGCTACGCCACTGTTCCTAATAGTACTGACCCAGAAGTATCCCTTCTACAAATCAGACTAAACCACTTTTATACCAGTTGTAGGGAGAGAGAGCTTTATTAGTTGTAATTGCTGTTATTTGGAGTCCTGGGCATTTTGTATCTGTTTCTCCCCTATGAATGGTTTCAAAGTAGTTTAGTCTATTTTGACAACTGCCAACTTATATTGGAGACATTTTTTTTTTCTTTTTTCGCTTTTTTCATAGCTGCAATAGAGTCATACAGTGCACAGGGGGCAAAACATTCTATAAATTAATGTATTTAGACTACAATCGTTATTCCTTTTTGTACAACAGTTTTTAATGGCAAAAATATGTATAATTTTCATGTATTAAAATTTACACACTAATTGGCAAATTCAAGGAATGCACCAAAATCCTTGCACAGTGTGCTATTAAAGCTGGAGCATGGCTAATATACATGTATACTGTCAAGCTGGAGTATGCACTGGCTGGAAGCATTACTGTAAAATGGCTTTACCATTAAATTCAACCACCAATAAATTTAATGGTTTTATGCTGCTCTTCTATTGAATTTTTAAATTGTGTTCTTGTACCACCATGAAAAGTTAATTAAGAGGTTTTTTCATAAGGGGATAGGGTAGCCTTTTGTTCATGCACATATTTATGAAGTAACCAGATTTTCAAAATGTAAAAGCAGTATGATAAACTAACTGATTTAACTGATTATATCTTTATTTGATAAATATTTTCATTTGAATAAATTCTCTTTTTAAGTTTGTCATTTTGACTTAATACATTTCAAAATTCTTCACTCATGTAATTAAGATTTATTTTAACTGTCATTACAATTAATAATGTTTTAGTCAACTTAGTTTTCTCACAACTTGAAACATAACTATTAAAATAACTTTCAATAGTGGAATTTTTCCCTGGTAAACAGTGCAACTTTGATAAATATCAACTTTAATCTTGGAAACATTTCAAGAAAATCCATTGTTTGTTAAGATGGTTATTTTCACCTATTGCATTTGTATTTCGACATTATGACTCGCCTAAATTCATTACAAAATTCACTACCTAAAATTACATCATCATTGCTTTCTATGTAATGGATGGTTAGTGTCTAAAATTATATCTATGCCTTGTAGAAATAAAAGAAAATTTAATCACTCTTAATTTTTTGGTAACAAATCAGAGTGGTTGATATAAGTCTAATGCTAAAAATATAGTACAAAAGCAGTATATACAAATCTGACAATATAAAGCATCTTGAATTTCTGGTCACATTAGTATTTAGACTGCAATAATTTTAAGTTTAGCTTAAAACATTTAAGAAAGAAAATTCATCTGTGCTCATTCATTAAAACAAAAACATTTATGTCTAAGTTAAAGATTTACAACAAAAAATACATACTGGTAATTATACCTTTAAGTTTAATATTGATACATTTTCTGTAAGATCTTATTTTAAATAAGACTCAATCCTGAAAAAAAAATTAAAAATTTAATTAATTAATTAATTAAAGGAATTTTAAAAAATTAAAAATAATTTTAAAAAAGCAGTTTCTCCCATATTTAAAAAAAATTTATTTTATAGAATATAACAAAATTATGACAACATTGCACTTTCAATTTTGTTGGCATTGATCATAACCAAATTTTGATTAGCAGAGCTTTTGACTATCACGATTTTGACTTGTTGAGATTTTAATCTTGTTATGTTATTGATTTATTGGTATTCTAATCCTAATTCTAATACCACAATAGTATAGTATGCACAAAAAATTATTGATAAAAAATAAAAAGAATAAAAATTTGGCATATATAAGAACACTTCAAAACCATAATCCAGTTAAAAGAACAAGAACATTCATTAGAAAACAATTGTCTTCAACCTTTAAAAGGCCACCCTCAGGTTCTACTGGTAGAATAGAAAATCGAACAAGTTATATTTAAAAATGTTCATTGTGTATGTGAACTTCTTATGCCTTTGCATCAAACGGGATGCAGACATTCATTTTGATAAAGCTCAANTATACTTCAGATGTTAATTTAGTATCAAAAACGTAAAATATTTGAGTAGCCCGAGAAATAGCCGAAGATTGCAGCGCCACAACGCTAGCGAAAATTTAAATTTGCCGACTGGAATTCTTTCGGATAACGGACGTTTCGGATAACCAGCTTTCGGATAAACGATGCTCTACTGTACTTCCACCTCCTAGCCAATTACTTACACAACAAACATTTTTAAATATATCTTGTTCAATTTTCCATTCTACCAGTAGAACCTGAGGATTGGCCTTTTAAAGGTTGAAAACTTTTAATGAATGTTTTTGTTCTTTTAACTGGATTATGATTTTGAAGTATTCTTATATTGTATACATCCAGCTTAGGATAGTGTTTATAAAATTTGGCACAATTTTTATTTTCCAAAATATGTAATTCATATACTGTCTTATTCAAAATTTACATTCCATATGGAGATTTAAAATATTTACTGTTTACAAAACTTAGATTGGTATTCTTATTTTATGAAAAATATCTTTAGAATGTCACTATTTATACACTCACTGCCAAAAGTTAAGCATGGAGCAGAAAATGTTCATGTCCGGAAAGCAATCTGCATTTGAGAGGCTGCAATTCACTGCAGAGGTAGGTGGAAGTATGAAAATATGTTACGTTACTATCAATCATGCTTATGTGTCGC